TGAAAATTGTGTACAATCTAATATTTATACCTTACTTTCTCTTATGTTGTCAAGTTTATTTGCAAGTTACCTACATCTTCCCATACCCTTGGAATTTAAAACCTAAGAATGGTTCTTATAACAGACCTACCTCAAAAAAAAAAGAAAAAGCCCAAACTGATTTCATACCACGAACCACAGTCGCCTGCGCCTATACCCAGCTACCGTACACTCGCCAGTTACTGACCTCTTTTTCCTTCATTTTTTTGTTTATATTTTTGTCTCTTTCACTCCTAATAGAACGCTCTCAGTAGATTAATACACTGACTAATGCATATCATTATATTGAGTGGTTTTTCTCCACTGATGTACTTTTGGATTGTGAACGAAATGTATCACGATTTGGTTATTACTGTAACATAGTTTTTGGCTAAATGGTCTTTAACTTTTTCTTTGAACAAGTCAGCAACTACTCCTGTATGTCAGGATCTATGACAGATCAACTATAAAACCATCGAAACACTGACAGACAATGCGTCCCAGAGACATGAAGGACTTCAGAATTATTATATACTACTTCCGCGCGATTTCACACGCTCTGCTCAGCTCCTATTGGTCGTAGCGTGATGTTTTATAGCCTGTAGCCATCCTCGATAAATGCGCTATCTAACACAAAACTAATTATTCAAATCAGACTTGTAGACTTGTAGACTTGTGAAACAATAATAATACATAAAAATAAGTATGTCAAATGATTCTTATAAGTTCTATTCTACCAAATAAGAACTTTCGTTTGATATCGATAATGGAGGTAGTTGTGAAAAAAATTGATTATAATATTGTGTGGTCATCAAGATTAAGAGTATGTATTAAATATCAGATCGATCTGTCATTATGAAAGGAGTAAAATTCCAATTTTAAATTTAACCCAAACTAACAAACGGGGCAAGCGCTAAATAAAACTGTACTTATTAGAATTATGCAGTCCAGCCTCGTTGGCCGAGTGGTCGCAAGTGCGACTACTGGGCAACGAGTCTCGGAGTCGATTCCTGGGTCGGGCAAAGAATTACTGGGTTTTAAAAAAATCTCAGTAGTAGCACAGAGTCTGGAACTGTGCCCGGTATATGGCAATAGGGTCACCCCTTATTACATGGGACTCATAACATAAATAGTGAAACGTGGGTGTTGCATTGTACAGTGGTATAATGTGCACGTCTGCCTAACCCATCAAGGATAAAAGGCGTGATGTTATGATGATGATGATGCAGTCAAACAATATATTGTTAGTTTTTATGGAAAACTGTATGGGCCTCGACCTAGTCTGAAGCCTGAAGTCATAGGTTTAGAATGACATTCTGGTCATAATATATTCAGCAGCTCATTAACATGACAGGTCCCGGCTTTATGTATACAGGTCACCAGAATTAGGGCGACATGCATATCATAACATACCTCTTTTTATTCCATGGACATGGACAACCTACCCCAGGGTTATATACTTGTTAATTTGTATAGAGTGCGACTGCCAGACAAGGTCTCGGGTTCGATTTCCAGGTCGGGCAAAGTATTAATGGATTTTTAAAAATAAAAATCTCAGTAGTAGCACGGAGTCTGGGATTGTGTCCGGTATATGGCAATAGGCTCACCCCCTATTACATGGGACCCTTAACATAAATAGTGAAAAGTGGGTGTTACATTGTACATTGGCATTAAGTGCCGTAATTTGCCTAGGTCTTCGGGGATAAAGGGGATAAATGTTATGTTATGATATTAGGTCAGAATTCCAAAACTATAAGCAGATATAGTAATAGAATCACTTCCCAGTGCTGCCTGATTACCAAAATGGTGAAAAATATTTAATTTTTTTTCTTCTTCTTCAGATAAATACAGGGCATCTTTTTTGTTGAAAATAAAAGGTGTCCTCATCATCATTATCACCATAAAAGGTCGTTGAGAGTCCACTTACTTATGTGCTACAACAAAAGAGTATGTTGTAGAAATCAGTTCAGCGAAATTAAAAGAAATATTAACATTAAAGTTTAGATCACAATGTATATCATCTGACCCATTTTCTCCAGCTGAATATAACCTGCGATAAATGATTATAATCTTAAAACATAAGATTACGTAACAATCATTACCGGTGTCTTATCTATCAGATAGTTAACCTTCCTGATAATTTTTAGTAATTTTTTTTATCGATGGTTATTTATGCCCCTAAGGGCATATCCCTATATATATAGCGGGTTTTTTAGTAGTGCCTTGCTTAGTCACTTATTGGACACCCAATTTTCCCTATGTATGTTATTATGAGTCTCATTATGATACGTGGTGAGTTTATTACTATATTCTGGATTTAATTTTTAAAATTAATGCTTATAATATGTCCTAAAATTTTAGGAGCCAAAATCGTCTCGATCTGTTTTTTTGACTCGTAAATCGAATCTGGCAGTCACTCTTATGCTCGATGGTATAACAATATAAAACTACAACTGGAAAATCCAGACTCACTTAGTCCAGCTTGAAGACCGAACCTCGACAGCCTTGCTTACAACCACTCGATTAAGGATCAGGCATAATCTTCGCTCGACGGTTATTGAACTTATCCTCAGATGTCATTCATCTTTAACATTTTTTTTATTTCATACATGAAACCAGTATAAAGTAGAGTCTTAATATTTACAAATCAGGTTGTTAGACACTAGTGTTCTACAAGAACAATGAGAAGAGAATTGTATAGAAAATTCTATCGACAATAAATCATCAAAATCACCACCCCCCACAGTACCACCCCCAATGAAAACTTCCTCCATTTTTAGTTGAAATACTACACCAACCTACAGTCATAGATACGCGTTGAAGTCTTTTCAACAAAAACAAAAAGAAAATAAAAAAAACAACAAGTTGGTCCCCGAGAACCTCTCCTCAGAATCTCATTACTGATCCTATATTCAGAGCAATGATGAAAAATGTCGGCTGAAAAAAAAAAGGATTACATTTGCAAATCCCACATCAGATTTTTAGATGCGAACGTGCAGTATGCAGGGGGAGAGTACATACTCGTATCTATCATTCATTAGCAGCACAGCTAGAATCCAATACGACATTTTTTACAATCCCCGGGCACAAAGAACGGGCGGCCATCCCCACACTAGCAAACAGCCCCATACAAACAAACGGCGCCGATGTATGAGTAATAAAAACTTGAAAAAAATCCCACTGACCCGCACACACGCGCGCGAACCGCGAAAAAAATCACCGACACAAAGAAAGTCCACCGAAAACTTGTATAGGAACTTTTGCACACACACAACCACGCGACGCGCACACACCGCCGCGTACAAGGAAGTTGCAGCTGTGTGCGTGAGTGCAGCCCGTACGTACGAGGGCTAAACTTAGCTTAGTATGCGTGTAGTTGTGTCTCACAGTTGCAAGAGACCAAAACTTCGGTTGTGTTAGGTTTCGCGGAAAATCCTTGATTCATCAGATCCTGATATCGACTCTATCTCGTGTAAATTAAGTTTAGATTCAAGTGCTCATAACTGCAGTTGCTACGTTTTTCCTTGGAACATGAGCTGCGCACCGCGGGTAGTTTTCGTATGAAACTTAGTGGCGCGAGATGCACCAACTGAGACGGAAACAAGAGAGTCTGTTGTTGTCTCTGTCGCACGCCACCCGCCGCCCGGGGCGCGGGGGCGCGGAGGGTGGCGGGAGGGTGTCGTGTCGCGTTGATGAACATTTTTCTCATTTTTTTCTTTATTTTTACGCGAATCGTTTTTAAAAAGGGTTTCGTCATAATTGCGTCGCCGCTCCTGATTATGTTAGCGCGAATGATAAGCCGATCTGTTGGCGTGGCAACAAAAGTACTTCACTAATTACAATCAGCAATCCCCCAAATCTTGAATCATACATTTATGTAGAAAAAGTCAAAAATCAACCTTTGGCTTAAGTTGATAAATTGCAAACGATTATAAAATCAATTGAATTTGCATAACTAGAATATAATATTTTAAAAATGCTAATCAAGTAATTAATTAAATAATTCGTTTTCATAATATAAAATACTGTAAAAAAACTGCATGCATAGGCTAGACACATAGACAAATAGTCGAACATCTGTTTAGAAAAAGGAAAAACGGATGAATGGAACAAAAAAGCTGTAAAAACCGTGTAAGACGTAAGGTTAGTAGTAAAAAAACCACATGTAAACATTGCGTTACGTACGCATGTCTCGAGTGGATCGTCTCGGCGGGAAACTTATTTTCCCGCGTTTTCTCCGACGCCGCCATATTTGTTTTTGTTATTGCTAATGTGAATCTTTTTCATTCTTATTTGATTTTTTTTACATATTACTCAATTTGTCAATTAATTTATGCAGTAAACGAGATTATTTAAGTGCAAAGCTTTTTGTTTTACTCCATTATTTTCAAAATATTAATCAAAAGAAAAAAAAGAAACAAAAAACATTGAAACATCACTATCGTTTCAGTGTAAACAGTATAATAGATAAACATAAACACAATCAAATAATCGGATAATCCGAACTTATTTCAGCCGCATCCTCCGCGTAGAAGGGAAACAAAAAAAGCATGTTGTCGGGCCCAGTCTCGCAGCAGCAGCGGCGCGGACCGGCCGCATCCAAAACGTTTCTATTATTTTACATTACGTGTTTCATTTCGCGTAGACTTTTGGACAGCGGTAGTATGCGGCGCGATAGTGCAACAAATTTGTGACTTTGGACATTAAAAAAAAAATGGAACATCGTGACTTTTTCGACAAAAACAAGAATCATTTTTACCGGCAAAAAAATATTTCATAACCGCAACTTTACGCAGTTCAAACTAGATTTTTTTTCACTGGTTTCTTCAAGTTTTCCTTTTCGCAATTACACAAACAAACATACTAAATGCAGTTCAATAAGTTTGAGTTTACGTACGTTTTGTTTTGTTTGAAACTTTAACAAGATAGGCAACAAACTGTATTAGCGACAGACGGGAGAAGAGAAGAGAAGAAAAGAGAAGATGGCGCTCGCATCTTCTGTCAGCCTGTATTACTCCATAGTGCAGAGAGCTGCTAGGCACTACCTGGAAGATTATTGTCACACAGGTAAGATTCCAATAAGAATTTATATTACATTTCAGATTTTCAGTCTTGAAATTTTCTTACGTCCACTTGTAATATAAGTTCTGAAACAAGATATTTCTAACACAATCTTTAATATTATAGCACTGTAAAATGACATATTAAATAATGAATAATTCATATTCAGGAAATAATAATGCGTTGTTAAATAAATTAAATACCTATTTTGCCGTCGGCTAAGCAATTAGCCATTAGGAACTATTTTTAATATTGTATTATTATTTCAGTAAACATTTAGCGCATTGATATATATCTAATAATATACCAAAGAATAGAATATTAATTGCGAAATTATTTATTTAAAAAATAATACAAAGTATTTTTTAAAATTGGTCATACCTAAATTGCAAAGAATACAAACAGTATTCTTTCAAGCATTAAATAAAAATATGATGTATATAATGCGGTATGGTAGTTGATGATCTTAAAGCTCATTTTTACAGAACTTTAACTTAAAAAAACGTGTCGTAAAATATAGTATCTAGAGCATTATTATATTAATTTTATTTCGATATTACTCAATAAAAATTTAAGAAATAATAATTAATTTTGATTTTTTCACTATTTAAAAAAAAATTCTATTCATAATACCACTGAATACAATGACATTAAATCATTGGGCTTGCAACTAACATTAAAATAACAAAAATAATTTATCGTTACTTATAAGAATAATAAGAATTCTTATACCTACACAAAATAACATAGACAATTTTTCATTTCATTTTAATTACAAAATGACATTAATACAATAATTTCAATATAATATTATCTTCTCACTGTAACACTAGAAAACAATTAAATGATTGTATCAGCCATTTTGTTGTATTTTTACAAAAAAATCTCAAAAAATAATAAAACTACTCAGTACTAAAACTACTAATTAAAAATTCACCTTTTTGTTAGAATAATATTATTACATTAAGTTGCATTAACTTTTTATTGTATAATTATGTGCAATGTAAAACTATTATTATTATTATTTGAATTAATTAACTAACATAATAATTAGGCGTTAATTTTTGCGGCTATTATTATTCATTCGTAGGTACTAATTTTAAACCCAATCGTACTTAATAAATCATTTTATTAGATTATTAAACATAAGGTTTGTAATAATTTAAATTAAATAAGAAAATTACTATAAGTAGGTATTTTCTTTTTGTAATGAAGATGAAAAATATGATAAGGAAACCGAGACACATGATTTCAAAATCGTCAATCTGCCGTGAAACGAAAATTGTTACAGAAAGATGGAAATGAAATGAAAACTAACACTAGTGTACGTTAGAAGTTATTACTTTCGTGTGACATACTAAATTAATTACTACGTTTTTCGGCTTACTTACCTACTTATTTGACGAGGAACTCGACTAGTTTCAAGCCATGCTAGAGGCTCATATTAGCATCGCGACAGTCGCCGCGTCGTCGGTCGCGGAATGCTGCTCATGAATATGAGCCTCTAGCATGGCTTGAAACTAGTCGAGTTGGTCATCAAATAATTATGTGAATAAGTGAAACAACGGAATAATTAACAATAATTAGAAACTACGAGGCCTCACCATTGAGCTTCTAATCCGTACATATTTTTTGGCTTCTATCTCGATTCTGCATCTGATCATACCAATAAGCTCTCTGCCTTACTTTTTGTTTTTTTTTTGATAAGCCAGTAAACGATCACACCGATCGCCTAATAGCGAACAATCAGCGCCGCCCATGGACACCCAGATCACCAGTGGCTTTAGAAGTGCGTAGTCGATCATTTTGTGGTTATAAATTTGAGGATTGACGATTCGGGGGATTCAGGAATGGGGGACGATTACGGAGGCATTCTTCTACAACGTCTTATGAGACTATATCGTTATCATCTCTTAGGGCGGCTCATAATCAACAAGCGGTACAAGAGGTGCACATTAATGCCTGTGGCACTTAATGCCACTGTACAATGTAACACCCACTTTTCATTAATTATGTTATGAGTCCCATGTAATAGGGGGTGAGCCTATTGCCAGATACTGGGCACAATTCCAGACTCTGTGTTACAACTGAGATTTTTTTTAAAACCCTGTTTTTGCCCGACCCGGGAATCGAACCCGGGACCGGCAGTCGCACTTGCGACCACTCGGCCAACGAGGCAGTCAGAAAAATATTGATTTCACGAAATAACCTGCCGGTTTTGCACTATTCAAGAATAATTGCACAATAAAAAGTTACATCAAGACCTATCATGATAAAAATAATTATTCATATGCAATTAAATTCATTAAACGATCTTATCATTATGTAAATAATTACAATTTATAAATTATCCTTAATTTTTGAAAAGATGACCTTCAAAATATGTGCACGTCAACGCAGGTTTGACGTCTTGTAACACTAATGTAACTTTTTGCTATCATCATTTAACTAAGTACCTATGTATGTACGTCATGGGACACGTGTAAAGCAACACCATTGAGATTGCAATCATTATGGTCCTGTTTCACTTGACAATTTCCATCACCATCTTTAGATAATTTCTGTTCACGGCCATTATTCGGTGCCCAACTTCTAACAAGAAAATAATATGAGAACGTTAAATAAAAGGCAAACGTAATATCACTTAGAAATTATAAAAGCACCAAAATGACAGTGGTGTACACCGTAATGTATGAAGTGTAATGACGGGCCATGTCACGCGACAGTTGTCCTTCGTGTCAATGTGTGTGTATTCTGCGTGTAAGTCTATAGTAGCCAGGTACGATCTCCGGCCACCGTAAGCACGGGCCTGCGGACGGCGAGCATGGGTAGCTCCCCGTCCGACTAGAAACAGACCCGAGCGTACGTAGCCTCAAAGAGCCATCAGACCACCACAGATGGGGCCCAACAGGGCCGATGCCGATTCGGAATCGCGGAGAACTTAACGGGTAACCGGGGCTCCGGCTCGACGACGTATAGGAGAAGGAACGGGGTGGTTTTTAGTCAGCAGTCATTCGATGATTTTTCCCCGCTAAAAAAAAATGTCACTTAGAAATTACTGAAGCACCAAAATGTCAGTGGTGTATTTATGTGTGCGTGTACTTGCAACACGGTAATGTATGAAGTGTAACGATGGGCCATATCACGCGACAGATGTCCTTCATGTCAATGTGTGTGTATTCTACGTGTAAGTCTATAGTAGCCAGGTGCCACATTCGCTGTTTCAAGAAACTGTGTTGGCCTTTATTTCAACGTCCTTGATGACTAACTTTGATATCTTATGTCATCGAACATGGAAAAGAAAAAAAATTTAAGTTGGAGTTTCAAAAGGGATTTTCACATAAAATAGAAGTAATTTAACATACCTTATTTGGCTTAACCTACCGATGTTTTTCGCCTGTTGGTAATTCGTACTATTCGGCATTAAACATGCATAATTTTTAATAAACAATTTTTTTTACTTACCTCCAAGTGACGATGGTTATAGCTATATCAACGTACCAATTCACCATTTACTCGAATTATTATTTATCAATAAACAATAATAATAATGGCAATTGCTTTATCATAGACGAAAATTTTTTGTTTTGTTCTTAATAATTATTCAACCGTTTCTTTGAGTTGGTCAAACTTGGCGAAAAAAAAAAGCAGGTACAAATATACTACGGCAGGAAGGAATAGGAATTGTTATGTTAAAAGATCGATCAAAATTTACTTTTTTTTACTAAAAGAGAGAGGTTCTTTATGGTCGTTTTCATCAACCACCCCTAAACTATCACCCAACTAAAAGTTACTTATCTTGACGTAGCACCTATACTAACCCCTTACTTGAACTGTTAGGTGTCCCTAAGAGGTTGGTGAAAAACAAAAATGACGTTAAATGTCAGGTCTCTTAAGTTAGACTTTCCTTTACACGGGCAGTTGGTGAAAATGTGTATTAGGATTTAATAAGTATTTGGATAACTTAACAAGAATGCTTGTTGCATAAAGTTTAAATAAATAAATAGTATCTAATCTTCTTAATGTAAGATTTTAATGCGTCCTATAGTTACTTCTATTCTTATTTAAAAAAACAAACATAAGGATTTTCTTCTGTGTGGTAGGTGCATGCACATTACACTCAGATTTGAAACAACAATTTGTGGATCACATAAAGAGTTGCTCCGTGCGGGAATCAAAACTGCTACACGTTCCACGGCAGCCGGTTGCCCAGTCACTGCGCCAACAGTGCAGTCAAACTTAAAACTTATGTAAAAAGATACCTTGGTATATTTCCTTTTTAACTATGTATAAAACAATTGTCAAAAATATTATTATTAACAATGTCTTTAACAAAAACTTGTTTAAGTAATATTCTTGACAAAATTATCAAAAAATCTAGACAGGTAGTATATTTATATACCTACCTAAGCTGTTTATATTTTTTAAAGATTTACGTACAATGGACGAGGTAAAGTCGGTGACAAAAGTGATTACATACAAATATATCTAAATAAATATGTGCCGTGTGAATTCTTAAAAATTAATATTTAGTAATTAAATTTAAAAAAGTTGTAAATATTAATAACGTTTATGCTGGCATCTAATAATGTTTTTTTACTTAAGACTACAATTTAATAAGCGGGTTAGTCTTTTAGGACAATAAATAATCTTAAATTATTCGGTATCTATTTATTTTTATTCACTGATTATTCTTACTGAAAGAAGCCGTTACATAGACTAAATGAAACTTTGAAATGTAAACAAATAATAATGTTTAATCCAATTTTTATATTATTTGAAACACAAGTGACAGAAGTACAAGTCAGCAGAATTACATAAGCATTTTGCAAAAAAAGATGTAAATTCTTGAACATTTTTAAATATCAAGAAAAACCTGTTCTACTGTAATCACATACATAAATCAGGGATAAATAATAATACTTTCCGATTTGATTTGGTACACGCCTTTTTGCAGTGAATAAGTACAGTGGGATAGAGAAGTCTTGTAAGAGCAAGAATCTGTA